GTACATAGTAGCGGTCTAGACCACCCACCACCTCAACATGAATCAAACACCACCACCAACCCTCCTGACCCTGACCTCAGGAACAACAACTCAACCCCCATGACGCCAACCACCATCATCAACAACATCATAATCTCCTTAACATCGCAAATTAACCTCTGCTCCGCCTCCCTCAACCGAACAATAGACATGACACGCGTCTCCACAACAGCAACCCATCACAGCTGACTCATCATGACGTATATCACCCAATTAACTGACTACGTAAATGAAGTCTATCTTCCAAGGCACTTTTTCACTGTTAATTCTTATTATACCCCTTGTACAATTACATTCTAGATTAATCCTAATTTAAAGCTACCGATATTACAGCAGTGTCATATTTACCCCTGATCCCAGTACAGTCTTCGACATATCCTCACCTAGTCGATATATATACATCGCCTACTAAAGGATAAACTGCATATATGACCTTCCACTTCCAATAAGCCGATGACGTGACCGCAATGCGGTCAATTCTGGGTCGAGTTCATCGAGTCGGGCTTGCGCTTCCACTTGCGCCTAGTACACAATGGCACGCCTGCAGTGCTATCCCTGCTATACTAGGCGCTGCGACAACAAGAGGGGGGTATAATGGTACTAGCACGTATATGCTACGTGCTGGCTGTGGTGCAGTCTACACGCCACTGGACCGGAGGTGGTTCCGCGCGGGAATCCCTGGTGGTAGTGGAATGAGAAACACCCGGACGAAAGAGCAACTGGAGAGATTGAGATTACGGGATCGCACCGGGGGTGTGCAGGCGGAGCAGAGAGAAGGAGGGGGGAAGTTGGAGGAGGCGATGACGAAGGGTACATCTTTATCTCTAGTTTTGTTACTACGTGATTGGGGTGCTAATGCGGTTGGTTATAGGGAAACTATTAACCACGCCATCGAGGTTATTCAAGCTACTAATCCCGCTGTCAACTGGGATTCAAGGAGAGCATAAAGGTGTGTTCTTTCTATATCGACTTGATGTGGTGGATGGAATACTGACAGTCCAGACATCGAACCAATCGCCATTCTCGTCCACCCCCAACAACCCCTCTCCCACCTAGAGCGTCTAATCCAATCCGAAGTCCCAGCCATAACAACAGAAGACGGCCAAACCCGCCCCCCAACCGTCTCCTTCATCGCCCTCCAAATCGAAGACCACCCCGTCCGGCCCCGAAAAGCCGTCTACGAAGGCACCGGCGCAGAAGTCCACCAGCTGGACGAGAGGGGTCGTATCGACGACGGCGAAGGCAAGCGAGTTCCCACCGAAGACGACACGTATACGTACCTACGCCGAACGGAGCCCAGCAAAAAGGAAGAGGGATCAGAAGGTGGAGGTGGAGGTGGTAAGAGGGAGCAGCGCTTCGTACGCTGGTCTCAATCAACCGAGATCGGCGATTTCATCCGGGACGCAGCACGGGCGCGGGAATTCATCGTCTCCGTGGAAGGTGCACCAGCAGGGGTACATCAGATCCATGTGGCGGTGCCATCGTTCGACGAGCGGACGTATTTCCTGCGCATGCGACTGCGGAAGATCTCCGGACGGATCCAGGGCATCGCGGAGATCAAGCACGAGTGCGATGCGCTGGCGCACCGGGGCGCGCAGCGGGTGGCGATGGGAGGATTGGGCATTCTGGCGATGTGGTGGTACTTGGTGTATAGGTTGACGTTTGAGACGGATTTGGGATGGGATACGATGGAGCCGGTGACGTATCTGGTGAGTTTGTCGACGCTGATGGGGGGATATCTCTGGTTTTTGTACCATAATCGGGAGATATCGTACCGGTCGGCGTTGGATTTTACGATCAATGCGCGGCAGAAGAAGCTGTATCAGGAGAAGGGGATTGATTTGCAGTTGTGGGAGTCATTGATTGATGAGGGGAATACGTTGCGCAAGGAGATTAAGAATATTGCGGCCGAGTATGATGTGGAGTGGGATGAGATGAAGGATGAGAGGGATGAGAGGGTGACGGAGGCGTTGAAGCAGGAGAGGACGCAGAAGAATGGGAAGAGAGGAAAAGGAGGTGATGATGAAGAGGATGGAGATTGATCTATGCCCCATGCTATGCTCATTCCCATGCCCGTTGCATTGCACTCAGCCATTTCGAACAGGATCATAATACTCCTTCTTTCCACTGCTGGCACCGCTACCACTACCACTTTCACCAGCAGCAACAGTACCAACTGAAGCACCACCATCATGTCTCATAACCATCTGAGGAGAACTCGCCCGACCTATACATACAGCATAGTTAGCTTAGCAACTGTACATATAACTCACATACACCCATGACCCCCTCCACACTCAAAATCCCAAACCCAACCCAAAAAGTAAAAAGAAAGGAACACACATACCATCCTCCCCACCCTGAACACCACCACCAACCCCAACCCCATTCCCCCTCCTCCTATTCCGATTATTCCTCACATCCCTACTCCTAAAAACACTATACAGCAACCACCCGGCCACCCAATTGGGCCCATACTCGCCCGTAGTCATCCCCCGGGCAAACAACGGTCTGGTGAGGGGACTCGCATTCCTCGCTATCTCATTTATACCCCATCGCTGACGCTCGGGCCGAATATGGTGCCAGAAATACGGCGGTTTGAGGGATTTGTAGTTTTCTAGGAGGTTGCTGGGGGATTCGTTCAGGTGGTTGTAGGTGGAGATTGCTTCGTCCTGGATATACTTTATTCAGTACTAGTATTGGGGTTGGGGTGTATGGGAGGAGGGATTGGGGAAGGTATAGGGATGGGGGATATACTCTCATGGCGCGGTAGTATTGCTCATGTTGGGGGTCGTGTGTCGAGAGGCCTAATGCAGCCATGAATTCTTCTTTGCTGGCGCGGGGGGAGACGGACATCTCTCTCTCACACTCTTTATTCTTTGGGGGGACTTTGGGGTGAGTGAGAGTGAGAGTGAGGGTGGAGGTGTGGTGGTAGGGATTGAAGGGATATGATGAAGTGATGGTTGGTGTAGGTGATGTGATATATGTAGTGATATCTCACGCCACCAGGTACTATGTCCCCTCAATATAAGGAGAGGATAGACTGTAAGGGTATGTGTATCAACAGGGATAGCGATTCCGGTTTCGTCTGCAGTCACACGGATTCCCGAGGGGACAGTGCTTGCTGCTTGCGTGCTGCTTGCTTGGGTGATTGTTGATTGATGGTTGATGGTTGATGGTTGATGGTTGATTGTACTCAGAAGGGAATGGTTCTGTCCTGTCGGATCAGCACATATATAATTATTGATCGCACAATGTGATAATAAAGGAAAGAAAGATGAGCTCTAAATGAAAGAGTGCTAAGCCCAGGTGTTATTGTCTTGTATACTACAAATAGCGTAGCTGCAGCACAGCCGTTGTCTGCTAGTCACGGAATCAATTTGTGAGACTAGGAAAAGGACAATGTCTCCCATATGACCCAACTTATCGCACTGCTATTATCATTAGATACCACCGCCGCACTGCTAGGGGCAAGAAAGATACCCGTCGTCCTACTCAGCTAGTGAATAGGTAGCATGTAGCTATCCGTTTGTTGGGACGGTACTCTATATGTCATGCTCTCTCGGATCATCCCACGACTGACCGACTGACAGGAAGAAGACGTAGTTTGTCTGACCGCAGTCTCGTGAGTAGTTGGTGGGTGTGTCCTCTGAGTCATGATATCTGATATAGAAATCGAACAGATACACGCACAGAATGCAGGTAGGCAGACAGGACAGGCTGTCAATGTAACCTGCACATTTCCCGTCCAGCTTTGGAAATTGGTATGGATGGATGGTAGCACACCGGCACCCACAGCACGGGTGTCGAGGGAAAGAAACTGGATGGAACAGTCCCTCTGTATGCTCCGATTCCTTTTCCTTCTCATGATGGCATACGGTAGGGGCTATCAACACAACCCCATGATCACCATCATCACTCCCAACCGTCTGTCGTGCCACGGACCCTGTCCCATCCCGCCAGAATCCAAGTCGTGTCTGTGTTGGCTTTTCCGAGCCATGAACTAGGCAGCTAGCTAGTAGCTACAGTAGCTTCTGGAGGAGGAGGTGGTGGTGGTGGCTAACCCTACCATCCCTGGCAGACGCCCCCGCTAACGGACGGACAAACGCCCCAGTCTGGTTTAAAAGGGTCCTGTCTTCGACCGAAATGACAACCCGTCACTTCATCTCTCACCCCCAGAGGATGAGAAATATAAAGACGATCCCGTTGATCGTTTGTCAACTCCATCGAGTCCTTCCTCAAGGGAAGAAGATTTGTTGTTTGCAGACATCCGGATGCCGCCGTGATCCGGAGCGGAGGTCGACGCTGGGACATTCCCAAGGATACGACAGGCACCTTCAGCTCATCTCCCGAACGTTGCTCAGCCTGGTCCTTGTGTAAAGATGCATGTGAGGCAACGGTTGTACATACTCAAGTATGTCCGACAATCCACGGCAGAACTCCCGTCTGGTAGCCCACGAACTTGCTACCGGACCCGATAAAGTCGACTCAACTACCACCTACTGATATCTATGATCTAGGGAGGGTCGGATGAGGTGATCAATGCCACCACCTACTCCCTTTCATCTGTTGTTCCTGAGCTGACGCTACCAGGGGTATTTGCTCAGAAACGATGGTCGTCCAAGCACTCCCAGCCCCCTGGCTAGCAACGACTACCCGATCATGCCACAAGGCAATGTGCATGCGACATCCACCCTCCAAGGGTCGTCTTGCACCTAGGCTAACCAAGGCAGGACAACCAGTATCATATCATCTACCTTTTTGTTTTTTTTTTCTTCTTTTGTTCTGGTTCTTCATATTCCCTTTAGTTTCATGGTTCATACATTTCTAGTAACAAACAGCCCTGGCCAAGACAAGGGGCAAAAATAGAAATAAATCATCTTTTTCCGCGGTAAGACGGGCGTCTTGCCTTCCTGCATGTTTCCGCAGTCTTAGGGATAGCTGTGTGGTGATGATGCTGTCACTTGGTGATCTCGATTTCATTGATCTCGGGCGGAGCGTGTGGCCTCGCTCTCGCGCGTATATTCAGTTAACTGACACAGAATTCTCGCCTGATTCTACCCCGTCCTTCTGTTTCTGTTCGTCCTGAAGTTTAAGCGGATTCCTCGTCTTCGCCATAGTACTTGCGCAGGAAGGCCTCGACCTCCTTGTAATCCTCCTTCACCTGGGTCAGGGTCTTCTCAATGCGCGAAAGGGAGGTCTTCTTGTCCGGCTCATCCGTCGAACCGGTCTCGTCCTTGCCGGCTCCGTAGTGTTGAATCTTCTCACATGCATCCTTGACCTTGGTGAGTCCGAGAGTGGCTGATGAACCTTTCAGGTAGTGTCCCAGAGAAGACAGGTCGTTAAGATTTTCCGCCTTCCTATAGGCTTGATTAGCGCGATTACCACAACGCAAGCGGCGCAATCACTTACAAAGCATCCTCCATCTTGATAAATGTGCTCTCCGCCTGATCGAAGAAGCCAAACACAATACCCTTGCTGAAATCTCTGTCGCTATCGTCGTCATCCATCTCCAGAATCTGCTCGAATGTGCTCTCATCGATGCTCCCCCTCATCTCCGCCAATGTGGAGGGAATTTCCTTAGTCTCCTTGGGCTTGGGGAGGTCAGCATCAACCCTGGCTTCAGTGTGCGGCTTCGCGACACCTACAGGCTCCTCCACGGTCTTTGTAGTAGTGGTGGGCGCCATGATGATGTGATGATACGAGACTGGGTTCTCGTGTGTTGAGTCAAGAATCAATGTCGTTTCGACGTAGAGCAAACGTCTCGAAACCACCAGGAGTCAAGTGGCCTTTTGACAAGCTGCGTGTTCGGACTCTGTGGGTCAATCTAGCCGGCTGTTCTCCGGGCCTAAGCTGGCAAGCAGCAAACACGGAAATACTGAGAATTACACGGAGAGAATCTGCAGGCTAATCCCATGTCAGCGGTGGAACACGAACCGAACGGCGACGTTACAGCTGCTCGAATCGATCGTGATGTTGCCCTACGCAATAGGGGTATTACGAGGGTCAGGCAAGCCAGCCCAGGGACAAAGAATAAAACCAGGAGATATACAACGAAAGGAGGGGGGAATGAACACGCAGACACACACAGAACACAGAACTGGGGAGGCCAACAGTTCGTCTTTTGGTATGATTGCCTCGTGAGTAAGAAAGATAGAAGAAAATAAAGTCAGGAGGGGTCGATGAGGGGAACGAAGAAAGAAGATAGAGAGAGTTCAAGAGCAACACACAATATAATCTAGCTATGTGAGGCTGAGGGAATGTTTGAACAAGGATGTACCTGCCACCAGGAAATGGGGGAGGGGAAGGGGGGTATCAGTGGAAATGAGTGAGGCTGGGAGGGGAGGGGAGAAGAAGAAGAAGAATAGAAGAAAGTGATTGTGGAAGGAGAGACAGCGGGTAGAAGGGAAGCACAGATATCAATCCACCATCACACATCAGATGGGATGGATCCACCTTTGGGACGAGCAAAGGGAACAGCTGTCTGGATCAGGAGGGACGAGGGGGAGGGGCAGTGATTGTCCGAGGGGGAGAAAGAGGATGAGCAGCCGAGCAATGATGGGCTGGGAAAGGCGCTAAGCAAAGCAGCAGAAGGGGGGTTTAGCCCACCTGGAACCAGTTCCGTCCACCGCAGTTTGAGAAGCTGAGGTTATGCCTTTGGGTATATGAATCAAAATAGAGTATGGCAGCAACCGCGGAGGTGGCAATGGTCAGATTAAACTTAGATTAACGGGAACCCGACGATAAGGCGAGTTAAGGTGAGGCAGAGTGGGAAAGATGAATGTTCCCGATTAGGACAAGTGGATAAGATTATAGAAGAGAAGGCAGAAGAAGAAGAGAAGGGGGAAAGCGAAGCTTGAAAGTGGGAGGGAATAGGAGGAGAGGGGAGGAGAGGAGAAGAGGAGAGGAGGGAAAAGAGAAGAAGGATGAAGTAAAAGGAAATGACGATGCTGATGGTTGGTTGCACTCTGTGTGTGAACCTCTTCTCTCCTTTCCCTTTTGGCTCGTTTTTTTCTCTCTTTTTCTATTTTTTATCCTATCGAATTTATTTATTCTCTGAAAAAATTCTTTCTTTATTATTATTTTTTTCTTTTTCGAATTTTTTTTTTTCGCTGCACTTAATTTTTTTCTGGTTAGGCGCGCGCCGTCAAAAGGAACCAGAAAGTGGAGGGGAACGAAAAAGAGGAGGGGAGCAAGTGGGCTGGGCTGGCAGCCGATAGACACAAGAACTGACTGACACAAGAGCAGCAGATAGGGAGAGGAGGGAGGAGAAGGGAGGATAACCGATGGGAGGGAAGAAACAAAAAGAACCACAACAAGACCCGAACTAGAGGTAAAGGTAAGTACAGACCTGATCAGACTGGATTATCAGGAGTCAAAAGTAAGTTGTGTCCCACCAATACCCTTGGAGAGTCCCATACCAGTAACCTCCAAAAGTGAAGGATGATGATGTGACCTTTTCAGTTCAGTTACCGTCAGGCTAGAATTATGATTAGGATTTTAGGCGCTATTGCGGGAATGAATAATACGGTGGACCAGCCCTTGATGGGACAAACCGAGGGGGGAACAACGATGCTTCAGCCTTCAGCGCCTTCTTCCTCAACTGACAGGCCCGATGTTCATCCAGAGCGGTCAATTCATTGGACACCGGCACGGTGGGCTGCAGCGGTCATACAGAAGGCACCTAATGAACGGCAAAAGACAATAAAGGGAGCCACAGACCGAGACAAACAATGAGTGGTCTCGGAAAGCTTACAAACCGTCGTCGTGGTGGGGAAGAAAAACAATATTGCAGAGTAAACCACGATGATCAACCGACGAGCAGAAAAACGCGCGAACAAGAGAAATTTCCAGAGGGGAGGTGGAAAAAGGAGAGCGGGACTCTGGCAGCGTTTTAAGCAGCCGATGACGAGATCCTCTGGCGTCATCTTCTCGCGCGTCTTTGACGGTTAATCCCTATTTCAACAAATTTGTTCCCTACTTGAACCGCGTGGTGTACAGCGATCTTTGTCATCGTGAAGGGAAAGGATTCTCCCTCTTTCTTTTTTTCTCCCCTTTCACCATCCTTAAGGTAAGTAAGTCTACTTCTCCCAGATCCGAACCGAACACGATCCCACGTCTCGAGACTAGAATTTGCCGGGAGAAAAAGCCTCAAAATATCCAGGTCAAACATCCCACATAAGTGAGGGCCGCTGATTGGCCCGTCCCATGTGGGGAAGGCGAGAACCAGAGGAAAAAGGGTTAAAAAGAAAAGCGGGCAAACACCAACCCATGCACAATGCCATCTTCCCTTCATCCCAGATTTGTTGAACATTGTAATGCCTGTGCTTGTTCAGTGTCCAGCCAGTCATCAGCTCTTTTTTTCAGAATCATTCCAGACCCCAGTTCTGCCACGATGTCTTACTTCCCCTCTTACCTTCTGCGAAAGGATTTGTACCGACCGCCCTATTCTCGGGCCAAAAGGGAGCCAATCCTACCTCCACTCTGAATGATGCACGCTGAGATCATAGGACCACAACTGACGTAGGGTGTCCGCCCTCCCGATTTTTATCAGTCGGCCATGAGCGTCGATCCCCACCACCGCACCACCTCCAGCCTCTGACCGGTCAACAGGCATCATCACGTCGCGATCACGACTTGCACGTGAATGGCACCTCGTTCCTTCACTGTGTCTTTCGTGGTCGACAGAATTATCTAGAATGTCAACGTGCCTTGGAATGGCAAACGAGGGGGATGCGTCTGGTGGGCTGAGACGGGATGGACATAACAGTATTATCGTGCTGAAGGATTGTCCTCTGCCTGGAGGCAGTCATGCAGCGGTGCCGTCCACCAATCTCACCGGGGACGTTGCGAATTCAGTTGACAAATCGACCGTAAAACCCAGTCACCAGGTTTGTCGCGCCGGAGCCGAATCTGGACCCTGTTCACTCACCTGCTACGACATCCCGAAAAAAAAGAGAGGGTTCTGGGCCCCTTCAGGGGTCAACCAAATTAGCTGTACCGGACGGACACACCCTGCAAGACCAACCATAGGCAATCGGTGACTAGAACCGAAGGCAAGGCGACAAGGAAGTCCTTCCAACGCTGTGATCCTTCTTCCGTCTTCCGTTGCGGGGTGTTTATAAGCTAGGACGAGAAGGGTGAGAGCGTAGAGCAGAACAGCTTTCCCTAGAGATCCGATCCATATTGTAAGAATTGGTGCCAGCGGAGGAGGATTGGAAGGTGGCCCATTGGGCATTCGACGTTTGAACTTTGCGAAGCGAAAAAAATGGGAAAAAGAAATTCGGGCCAAAATTCGAAAGAACTGCTACAGCAGTGGTCAATCTAATGATTCTATATAAGTACTTCATGTTGGGGAATGGATCTATATTCTATATTCTAATTACAGACACATCGTCATCGCAGATTCTGATTCTTTGGTTTTGCGAGGCGAGGCGATTCAACGAACAGTCGAGGAAAGGTTCTTTTTGGGTCTGGCTGGGAATGGTGAGCCTATCAGAGTGCTCAATACCTGAGCAGTGACATCATGGAGGGGCAGAACTGCTGCCAATCAAAAGCGCCGCTGACGTTGGCGGGGTTATTGCCAAGCGAACCAAACTAAGCTTGGACCGCCTTCCAGACACTTCGGCCGCAAGTCGCTCCTTCCCTATTCTGCTACTTTTCACTCCAACTAGAGTCACAGTCACTGGACAGCATCGTGTAACTCCCCATTCTTGTACGATTGTAATTTAATGCTAACTCTCCTTCCCTTATCTCCAGAACAGACTGTGCGTGGGGGTCTCCAGTAAAAGTGACCCTACGTACTAGGGCTACTCTGTATATCACCCACGCGATCATAGGGCGAGTCATGCCGGGGAAGCGACTCGAGGTTCCCCTGTCTCGGGCTCTCAACGCCAATCCATGTTCCGGGCAATTCTCGCCGTCTGCCTCCCGCCGGTCGATCCACTGCCACCTCAATTAGGAACTTCTGGGGCTCCAATCTGAACAGCCTATCATGCTCCCGACTACCCTTGTTCAATGTACCGTGTGTGAAAACCCAACGCTGCTTCTCGAAGGAATCCTTCTCGGAGTGGGCCGGTCGTCCGTCTCGGTCATCATTTTCATTTATGGTCATGAATTTTGTATCAGGCATGAAACCCATTCTTAAGACTGACAAATAACACCTTACCCATCATCACAGCATCACTTGGCACAAATTTCAGCAATTTGCTTTCCCTTCAGCTGAATCCTTGACATCAGGCATACAGTTCATCATCTGCCCTCTCTCAATCAGATGAAATCTCACCCGCGTGTGATCAGTATACATCCATCATACAGCATGCACTGCACTAGCCGGGGGTGTCTCACGAGCCATGACATCAGCCTGCATGAGGGGAGAATTTTTGTTGTCCCATTATCCTTCCCTCAGCCTGTCTTCAATTGGGACCCCTCCCTCCACTGCAGCCCCTATGGGTATCTGCCACAGTAGTGTCCTACTTTAGTCTGACAGTACAACGTCCTCATCGGGCAAGGGGAGGCTAGAGCCATCCACTTATCAGCCACCCAGCCCATATGGCCTAGGTGACAGCATTGTATGACCCGAACATGGTAGGTATATCCTCGACCAATCACTATAACAGTAATATAGTTCACCGACTACTAGTAGTATACCCTTCTCGATGCCACCCCAGTATGGGGGTATCTACGGTGGCGCCCATGGTCTGATCTCAATCCCTACTTTGACACCCAACGAATATCCAAATTTCAGAAAAGAGTCACATGAGCACGAACCCACCAGCTTATGGGCCCAGAGCCTATACTATTCCTCCCTTACTTATCCCATCAGAGTAAGTACCATAGTAAGGGAAATCCCACATCACGAACCACAACCATTCGCTGGAATGTTTCTCCGGGCGAACTAAACCAGACAACGACTAGTTAGACATCTCGGGACTTCTGCATCTAACAAAACTAAGTAGATAGCCACAATGATGATCTTGTTTCATTCGACCTGCGTTTCAGATCTACCTCGCCTAATGTCCCCAAGCCGGACGCCAGTGGCGAAACCACCTACGTGGTTTTTGATCCTAATACCTGCCTGTTAAGGCTTGGTTGGAGTTAGAATTCAGCCTGTGCAGCGCTTGGCTTGCCTAGCGGGAAGTACTTTGCCGAGTTGAAAGTACTGTGTGCCTTGATTTGATCTATGTGTGTTGGAACTATATGTGATCCCGAACTGGAGAAAAGGATGGTGGTAACATTGAATAACTTGATTTACCAGCAAAGCCCGAGAGACGAAGTAAATCCCGATGGTAATAACTAGGGATTGTATGGCAGAGGGGAAAGTGATGGGTTGATGCTACTAATGTGCTTATGACACGGAGTAACTTTAAACAAAGAACTGTATATGTAGACTTGGATCTTGCCAGGATATTTCCCATCGTACATCTAGCTCCAACGGTATAGTGACTTATACTAGACCTTACTATTGTAATAGTCTATACCCCTTCTCGTGATACTTGATTATGAACAACATTTGACAACGAAGTCAAATGAGACATGGTGATGGATGGAACTGGCATCTCATCATTGATATACTAGAAATATAGCCACTTTAATGTAATGAGTATCAATGATTGAATGATCAAAACATAGTATCTATATGAATATCATACAGATGACCCCAGATACCGAGCATTCCTTATATTGAGAAAAATGATAGATCAGAGGTACTTACAAACAGAAGAATTTGACTGCCAGCTTTAACAGTGGAATAATGTTTCTCAAATTATTTACATCCCCAAAAACTACCCCGTATGGCTTAAACTAACTAGGAAGGGGTGATAATACAGCTATACTTGAAGTACACCATCATTATTCCTGAATACCCACTACATAGTCTACCCACTACATATGCATAGTTGCCCCGAAACCAAGTCAGATTCAATCATCAGAGCCCCTCTTTTTCTCTTCCTTTCCTTCCCTTCATAGCTGTCTACTTACACAATAACTATCCTATCTATCAAAAAGTATATCCCCCCGTCTACAGTTATAGTGTAGTGTGTCTACATCAAAGGAGGGCACTGAAAAAAGTATTATACAATATGTCCAGAACCTTTGCCTCTCACCAGTCACAAGTTGTCATTAGTATCACATTCCTTGCTCTCTTCTTCTTTTGGTCAGCGATGGCTAGTGATGTTCTTAGTGGTGTTTTTACTTCTTCAGTGTTGCTATATGTCTACCTGTTTGTCCATTTAAGACAGAGAAAAGGCTGGGTACGGAGATTACATCCCTGATTCTTTTGCTCATTTTTCACGGTCTCCTTAGATTCTGGACAGGATCCCGGATTCTGAGCAATGCGAGCTTCCAGGGACACTGATGATCTCGAATGCCTCGTATCGTAAGTGGTATTTGGTACGCCTCAAATGAGTAAATAATGAAGTACGTGAAGACGAAATCTTCCAATTATGTATTCCCTCTTACACTGTCTTTCGGTTGGGATGGTGAGGTTCAAGTCCTTATTGTTATATAGTAATGTAGTTCTGGAGTGGCAAGTTATATCATAGATGGGAGCTCTACGGTGTTGTTTTTACAATGTACAACTGTTAATATATCCAGCCCTCTCTATTATTGTTGGTTAGTGAGAGTGATACTAGTATTGGTTCATGTGGTTGGTTGTAATAGACTTTCCGGTCTGCTGATCTATTCTGTGTATTTACATTGCTTGAGAATATCGATGGGCATTTTCATTGGGTAGAACAGGGCCTAGTCAGTAATTTTAATGAAGTAGTTGATACGTTCTTCAATTTCGAGATACTAAATTGTTAAAAACATCAGAGTGGCAAGCAAGACATCATAGCTAAACCAAAAAGAATTGATCAGATTATTGTCATTCTGTTGATAATAATGCTCGGACGATTTCAGACATGAGATCATAATAGCCGCCGGCGGTTAGGAAAGAATAGCAGACCAGGTTAGATGCATAATAATAGATAGACGTCAGGAATGGCCTCAATGATGCAGACTTATAGCATAATTATGCCATACGCCCTGCGTAGCTGGCTTATGACAGCATCTGAAATCAAGTTGTGGAATACCAACACTTGAAAGTCAGACCCATTCTAGCGGACATCAATTCGAATTGCATGTTCAGCTTTGGGGGCTAGGGCATATAGTGTTGTGCTGTTCTCAGAATGCAATAGCTCTCTGGCCACGAAACACGTCCTGAACCTGCCGCTGTACCTTCTCAAACCGCATAAAAGCGCAGGATTCACTCTCAAGGTGGTTAAACAGAGCAGCTATGGTAATAAACTGCTTCCGACACTTGGCGTTCGGACAATGATACAGCTTCTGCTTGTGCACAGGCGAATTGAGATGTTGATTGAGTGCGTTCAAACTGTTAAATTCCCGATGACACAAGTAGCACTCCCAGTAATCGCCGTTGTATGCACGGGAATTAGCCTTGTATTGAATGCTGTCATCCTCATTCCATTCAAGCAGCTTCCTCGTGATGACGCCCTGGGTGTCACGGCTGCGAACGAACTTGTAGATAGTCTCGCGATTGAGGCCTACAGCACGCTTGCAGGAGCCGGTTTCGAGGTGGTGGGCAGCGCCAGTGGCTGTAGTAAAAGCAGCATTGCAGAAAGGACAGAGAACGTCTTGACCACGGTGGATTTTCGAGTTTAGGTGCTACAAGCGAAGCCTGAGTTCAATCACAACGTTTCAGGAAATAGAAGTCCTTACCATCTTGAGGTTATTCGCAGTATCGAAACGCCGGTTACAGGGGTGGCAGTAGTTCTTGTAATGGGACTTGGCCCGCATATGCTGTTCAGCAGCACCTTCTGTATGAAACATCTGTGTGCAAGTCTCACATGGCCATGTTGGAGCCCAATGGTCCATGGCATTCATGTGCTGATCTGCTGACCTTTGGTTGTAGAACTTCCTCCCGCATGTCTCGCAAGGGATCTTGGGAGCGTAGTGTCCGTAGTCATCCATATGTTCCTCCACTTCCCATTGAGTCAAGAATTCGTCATCGCACGTTTCGCAATTGTACCGCACAGCCCAATGGCCCGTGTCGTTCATGTGCTGGCGACAGGCATACCAGCTGTTAAAGTAGCGGGGGCAGGTCTCACAGTCGTACATTGTGGGCTGTAGAACAGGGTCTGGAAAACAACGATGCAGCTTGGGGAGAACTACTCTTGTCTCAATGTCGTGTGTCAAACGCGAAGGACAGAAGAACAATGTTGCCTCAAGGGTGGAGGGGCAGGGGCCAAGAACCACTGATGCACCAAGTGAATACTCGAGTGAACCAAGCTAGGAGACCATAAGCACCTGATCTGCAACCTTATCTGAGGGTGCAACGAGAGTGATCAAAATGGGGGCTTGGACAAAGAATTGATCTAATGGTGAGTGAATGATAGAGATGAGGGGGGTGAGTACCGCTACGATCGATCTATCAATCTTTGCTGAGCACTAAGCTACTCCTTGCAGATGCTGAATGTCCGCGTTCACCGAACAACTTCAGCAGCAGCGATGACTGACATGCATTTGTAAGTGTTCTGTCTTTATATAGGTAATCGTATTTGTAGGCAACATGCGTACAGTTAACTCTTCTATATCTACCGCATTGGAGATGTAAACAAACATGGAACATCTGGTCGGAGAGACCCGCTGGCAGCTGTCATTCTTCGGAGAAAGCCAGTTACCACCCATAAATCACTTTTTTGAAGCTCCCGCCTAAATCGGTCCGTTGGCTCATTGGTTGAGTTTGGAAAACCGGAGGTTGTGGGTTCGAGTCCCATGTAGATCGTTTCCATTGGTCTATTGGCTCAATGGTAGAGCGCCGGTCTCCTATGACGGTTCCGGTTTTTTGCTTCCGACTCTTGCGGATTCTGTCCACCCTCACCGGCCTGAGTGTTTGACGCTGGGGTCTTTCAGGGCTCTTCGGGGAGGTCTGAATAGAGCTGATGCGTTCCCCCTTCAGTCTTGATGCGAGAGTCCACTGTCGCGCCAAAGTTTAGGGTGCAATCGCCGTGCATATTTCCGATCACCATCGTGCTGATTGAACTGAGTGCTGAACTCAGTCAGGATCTCTGCTGCTACAAACCTCAAGTATCTATCATCTTGGCAACCTTGTTGGTCAACTATAACGTCTACAGCGAGTATGGCTAAACCCACAACAAGCCCATTATGCCTAGCTATTGGGTGGGGACGGTAATCACACCGACAGCAGCTTGCCCGCATGCGCCTTGCCGGCGAGTTGTGACTGGTTTGTTGATTGAAGAGCGGATCACTCAACGGGACTGAGAATGGTACCACCTTTCTTTGTTTATCTAAAGCCATCTCTAGACCCCAGAGCAGAAGAAAGTTCCGAGCCAAGGTAACCAGAAGTGGAAGGTCATGCCTGTCTTGCGAGCTAGGGAATTGAACGCGATAGAGGTAGATTGTTGGGTCATCATGCCCTCCACAACAGAAGAATCACTAGTTCGTATTGGAGAAACTTTCCCAATAGCCGCCCAATGCAATAGACTGTGTGGCACCTACGCATGCTCAACCACGATAAATGACGCAGCCAAGGGACAGTTATCAAGAGCAAGAGAGATTTGATACATAACTAGTACTGGTGAGTAAATGATTGATTGTAAATAGTGATGATGCAAACGATGAGCTGGTATATGAGGGTTGGAATGCATGCAGTCATGGATACGATTCAGTGGGTGCCGGGCCAAAAGCGGGGCATTCCGGATGCGACGATCACCTGACCCATCTCCAGCCGCTAGCGATGGCCTAAGGCCACTTCCCGAGGCCGCGCCGTCGAGATAACAGCTGGAGAGGATCCCCTTCCCCCATCCTCCATCCTCCGATAAGGAATGCCCCCAACTCACACGTCATCGCCGTTGCTGCCGCCGCAAGGCCAGTTGTCGCATTCCCTCTCTGATCACCCCCCAGATTACCTGGTAAGATGATATTACTTATCAATGAGAAGGCAAACAATATATAGACAACAGAAACTCCGAGTTTCAACGGGTTCTATTTCAGGAACACGGCTGCGGTCTGGATTGGGTCGGGCTGAGATACCGACTGGTGGCGTCAGTGGCGGGTACGGACGGAGTCGTCCTGTCCGCTCGTAGACGCTCCCCCGGACTGATATCAGGCCCCGGCAACTGGCTTCGTCTCCCTCCCATGGCATCAGGAGTTGTTCTACCACATGGGATCAGGCTTTGCCTGTTGTCTAAGTTTGCCGACAGAATTTTCGTATGCGTTACCACTCTTTAGTTTCTTTTGAGCGACCATTCCCGTAGTTGTAAACCCAATAATAGGTGGCTGCCGTGGGAGCCTGAGTCAACCCAACCAGAACCTTTCTAGTAGATTCTCCCTCCCAAGCGCTTCAGCAACGAAGCGTATTGGAGAACCAAATGACGCAGACCAGGCGGATTCCGGCGCAATAGCCGGATGGCAAGGGAATCCCCCAGGAGGTGCCAGAAGCGTCGCCCGAAAGGTACTTCGTCTGACAGGCTAACACCGCTCGGGCTAAGGTCCCTGCTGCTCTTTTCCCTTTATTGCGACTTGACCTCTAAGCCATTCCCTTGCATCACGTTATCTCACTGACCGATCCTCTGACTAAGGCGCTTCGCCTCCGCCTCCCCTCATTCACCTCCTCTCCTGACTACTTAAGCCTTTCTTCCTTCCTCTCTCCACCAACCCTCCTTCATCCCTCATACCTCTCTTCCTACCACTCACCTTCCGCGCATCGCCATCTGCGATTCTCTCCACAACATCCACCTAATCACATTCACCGTTAACTGCGCTTCTACAACATGCAGATCTTCGTCAAGACCCGTGAGTATACCTAATCACCTCTCAAGCTTAGCATCTTGAATCCATCATCTGACTGTTTGTTTCCATCTAGTCACCGGCAAGACCATCACCCTCGAGGTCGAGTCGAGCGATACCATCGACAACGTTAAGACCAAGATCCAGGACAAGGAGGGCATCCCCCCGGACCAGCAGCGTCTGATTTTCGCTGGAAAGCAGCTGGAGGATGGCCGTACCCTGTCTGACTACAACATCCAGAAGGAGTCTACTCTCCACCTCGTTCTCCGCCTGCGTGGTGGTATGCAGATCTGTAAGTTTTCCTGAACTTCATTTGCCACCCTGTTGGCCACGTTCACTTGGACCGTATACTGACCTCACTTTAGTCGTCAAGACCCTGACCGGAAAGACCATCACCCTTGAGGTGGAGTCTTCTGACACTATCGACAATGTGAAGACCAAGATTCAGGACAAGGAGGGCATCCCTCCCGACCAGCAGCGTCTCATCTTCGCGGGAAAGCAGCTGGAGGATGGCCGTACCCTGTCTGATTACAACATCCAAAAGGAATCCACTCTTCACCTCGTCCTTCGTCTCCGTGGTGGTATGCAGATCTTCGTCAAGACTCTTACGGGAAAGACGATCACATTGGAAGTTGAATCTTCCGACACCATCGATAACGTTAAGACCAAGATTCAAGACAAGGAAGGCATCCCCCCGGACCAGCAGCGTTTGATCTTTGCTGGTAAGCAGCTGGAGGATGGCCGTACCTTGTCCGACTACAACATTCAGAAGGAATCGACCCTTCACCTTGTCCTTCGTCTCCGTGGTGGTATGCAGATCTTCGTGAAGACACTCACCGGCAAGACGATTACGCTGGAGGTGGAGAGCTCGGATACCATTGATAACGTCAAGAACAAGATCCAAGATAAGGAGGGCATTCCCCCGGATCAGCAGCGTCTTATCTTCGCTGGTAAGCAGCTGGAAGATGGCCGTACGCTCTCCGACTACAACATCCAGAAGGAGAGCACTCTGCACCTGGTGCTCCGTCTCCGTGGCGGAAACTAATGCCTTCTTTTGATCTTCCTTCTTTAGCACGGCTCATCTACGGTTGAGTGGCCTGCATGGCGTTGGGACGGTTGTTTTATCGGTTTTATGACACGGATAAATTGGGCATACCTTAGGGTCACCATCTTCTATGGTGCCTTGCGACATTCTTTCACCTAGGAATCAATCCAATAATTATATTCTACCTGATATCACTTGCACTGTATCCTGTAGATTTAGTAGGACCGCCCGAAGTAGACCGCCACGCTAGCATAGACGTAGTCCACATGCAATTCAAGACGGTGTCTTACCACCTTACACATCGTATGAGACGAAACAAGATAGAAATTGAAACAGCTTCATCTTCATCTTCATCTACCTATACAATGGTTAACAAGTAACTGCATGTGAGTCACCGTCGTCGCCACCCGTATCTAAGCACGTGACTGTACCGTCCCAAGGCGGCGTGGGACAGGAAAGTAGCTTCCATTCATGAAATCGACCTGAGAGAGCAATTGCAGACTTGTAACACGCTGGAGATGTGAGCATCAGTCGTGATGCCCTCCTACTTCTACCACATTGCGATCGAATTATTTGCTCGCCCGCACTCTGACCTCCACGGCACATACCCAGGCGTGGACAAACACTCGACGTCGCTATCCTTCGACTCCGCATGCGAAGCTCTACTCCCGTTCCAGAAGCGCCCCCGACACTCACCGTGGGCACATCGATCCTCTCGTCATCAAGTGCATGCGAAACACCCACGCCCCTCGCCCAACAATCCCGCCGAAACCCACGGCTCGGACTCTACTATCAACGTCCCAGACCCCCGTACCCCTCACCTCTACACGACTTCGTCCACAAGCGCATCCGATATCGAGAGAGATCTCAGGCTTGATAAAGTATCCATCGAGTGCATTGATATGATTCCATCAGAGCAGGACACCAGTGCTGCGAAGCGGACGGGCTGGAAGGACGCAAAGGATAACCCCATCGCGACCGGGATCGGCACGGATATCTTGGGAGGACTACGCACCAAAGGCAAATACATACCGCTGGACCAGAGCACTTCGGACAGTGTTTGGGGAATCGTGCATTTATACCGAGATGCTCAGGAGACGCCGTACCTGACAGAAGAGGACTACCCCTCTTACTTGAAAGGTTCCGCGGCTGCGGCGAGGACACCGTACGATGAAGTGGGCGGCAGCAGTAGGCCCCCCCGCGCAGAAGAGCATATGTCAGATGAGGAATGCACGACGCTATGTATCCTAGCCGTCCCTTCATATATGTCGCCATCCGACTTTTTGGGATTCGTGGGTGAATCGACCATGAACGATGTCAATCATTTCCGCATGATCAAGACTGCTCGGGCGAACCGGTATATGGTTTTGATGAAGTTCCGCAACGGGAAGAAGGCCAAGGAGTGGCAGAAGGACTGGAATGGAAAGGTGTTCAACAGCATGGAGGTAAGTGCATCATGCATTGCTTGATGCAGATCCACGGCTGCGATGCTAACGCGCCCTTGCTTCAGCCCGAAACCTGTCATGTCGTCTTCGTAAAGACCGTCGAAATACAAGCCGTTGAGCCGGGCGCGCTATCTGGATCACAGAGTGGCCTTCTTTCTCCACACGCTACAACGAGCCCTGTGCGGACGACGCCTATTTCGACCACGCAGTCAAGCTCCATACCTTCCGCTACTCTCTCTACCAGGCCGCTGGCGCCTCCTACCCCTGCGCTTATCGAATTGCCAACATGTCCCGTGTGTCTGGAGCGTATGGATGAGACCACTGGCTTGCTGACTATTATATGTCAGCATGTCTTTCACTGCACATGTCTACAGAAGTGGAAAGGAAGTGGCTGCCCCGTATGCCGATACACACAAGACGATATCCGACGGAACAGCCAAGCCGCGTTATATGATGATGAACCAGCCGAGTGCAGCGTGTGCCACTCGGATTTAAACCTCTGGATATGCCTCATTTGCGGAAACGTCGGCTGTGGACGCTATGACGGCGCACATGCATTCGCGCACTACAAGGAAACGGCGCATGCTTTTGCAATGGATCTCTCTACGCAGCGCGTGTGGGACTATGTCGGCGATGCCTACGTGCACCGCATCATCCAAAGCAAAACCGACGGTAAGCTCGTGGAACTTCCAGCAGCCGACAACAGCGCGCTCGACCCACCCGACTGGACGGACGCTGTTCCGCGGGAGAAGCTGGAGAACATGAGCGTGGAATATACCCATCTACTTACTAGCCAACTTGAAAGCCAACGGGCTTACTTCGAAGAGGTAGTCGAGCGTGCCGTGGACAAAGCATCTCAAGCCAGTGCCGCTGCCTCTTCCGCGCAGGACGCAGTCGAGAAAGCCACCGCCAGTTTGAAGAGTCTACAGGCGCAATATGACACCCTGACTAGCGAGATCATCCCCGGGCTGGAGCGCGATAAGGCGCGGGCCGAGAAGCGCGCGGAGAAGTTCGAGACGATGACGCGCAAGATGGAGAAAGAGTGGCGAGAAGAGAAGACGATGAATGAGAATCTCATTGAACGGGTTGAGCTTCTGAAGTCCGAGGTGGAGAGTCTGAAGCTTGCGAATGCGGATTTGACGGAACAGAACCGGGATCTCACTTTCTTCATTAGCGGGTCGGCGCGACTGCAGGATCAGGGCGACGATGTGGTGCAGGGGACGGTCAGTGTTCCTGAACCGGAGAAACCGAAGAAGAAGGGGAAGGGGAGGAAGAAGTGATCGGAAGAAGGGGGGGGGGTTTGTCCTAGGCTCGCCGGTTCGATGGATGGACATACCGCTATACAGCAGGTCTATTGTTACGACACAATCCACGTATCTCACTACGTTAGTATAACAGCATTAATGCAAGAAAGAACCTAATGCAATGAAACACCTATCTAATGCTATGACAGTAGATCTTAGACACTGCATCTATAGATACATATCGTACACCACCCACCTAGTAATATACAATCCCTCCTCACCAACAACTTACCACTCACTACGTAGTAAGATCACTCCCCCTTCCTAACAGCCCAAAAATAATTCCCCCAACTCTCCGACCCCTTCACCAACTTCCACCCCAACCCAGGAAAATACACCACGCCTTCACACCTCCACCTAGCCCCCTCCAAAGCCTCACTACCCCCCCTCACAGCCCTCCCATCCACCCCCCTCATCAACCCCTCCTGCACCCACCCCTCCAACTCCCCAGGATTCACAAACTTCTTCCACTCATGCGTCCCCCTCGGCACCACGCCAATCGGCCACGGCGCCTCCGCCACCACCTGATTCACCAACCACGACGGGAACGTCCTCGCGATCGTCGACCCAATCAGCCATCCGCCCGGCTTCACCATAGACAAGCAATTCGACAGGAAACTCTGCGGTGTGATCGACCCGGGGATATTATCGATATGCTCGAGTACTTCGAAGAGAGTCACGATGTCGAATCTTCTCTCCTCGGGCTGTAATGTGGGGATGAACTCCTCCAGCGATGCGTTCACGTACTTGAACCGCCCGCTATCCAGGTGCGCTTGCACCGAGGGGTCGAGACGCGCGTGGTCCCGTGCGATCTTGATCAGCGTTGGGCTGGGGTCTAGGGCTGTTATGCTGGCGGCGCGGGTGCGGGTTAGAGTACTAGTGCCTTCTGATGCAGGTGTAGCTGGGATGATTGTGCGTGCTAGTGACTCGGCGAAGATGCCCCCTCCGCACCCGATATCGAGGTATCGGAGGTTGTTCCTGTTGTGGGTGTTGGTGGGGTCCATGGGTGAGGATGGCGTCGTGCTGCTTATCGGGGTTGATTCGGCGAGGCAGGAGGCGATGAAGTCGTGGCGGACGGGGTTCATGAGGTGGAGGACGCGTGAGGGACCTTGCGGATCCCACCATGATGTGGCGAGGGAGGAGAAGTGCGAGAGTTCGTTGGCGGAGACGGAGGAGTGGTGTCGTTTGGGGGTTGCGGTGGTTGTTGTGGAGGTGGTGAGGGCGCGGAGGGTGCGGAGGAGGGTGGTGGTTGAGGTTGAGGTTGGGCGGAGCATTTTGGAGGTTGTATTTGTGTGTTGGATGTGAGTGTTTGTAGGTTGGTCTGTTCGGAGGTTTGAGGTGTGGTGTATTGTGGGTGGTAGGGTGGACTGGTGGGTTGTGTTAGTTGAGATTGGTTATATTTGCATGGAGTATACGGGTATATACCTAGAGGAATGCGTTGGACGCGCCGCGCATCGTCAATGGCAGATTAATATAGCTGGACTAGCTGCAGCGACTGGTCTGGCAGAATTGAAGCCGAAGTTGCGATATTGCGGATGCGGATGTTGTTCGGGGGAACAAACATGCCAAGGCTGAGTGTTTGTTTGGTCTGTCTGCCATCCTTCCAGGCAGGTACTGCTTACTACTCACATTCAAAGTTCCTGAAGGCTGTTTGCTGTTTGCTCGCAAGATTGATCGCATCAATGTGATAGATCAACTCTCTTGATCAGATACAAGATTTTATGTGTGGAATACATCCTCGGCTGGTTTCCGTGCATCGTGGCGTGCTGCATTGCCCATCCTCATATTGTATCTATCGCGCACAATTGAGGCGATTAGGCTACCACTACTGAGGGAGTTTCTACTGTTTGCCTACGATGGCTTACCATAATACACTAACTGTACCTCCCATAAGGTACCAGTACAACATCCACCGCGTACTGCTTTCTCCAACTGAGAGAATTAAAAAAACCCGAAAAAAAAATAAAAAAGAGAAATGTGGCACCTCAATATACACAGCACAGCAAAACTTATTGCTAATAGAATATTCCCTCACATTCTTTCTTTCTTCCTTTTCCTTTTCCTTTTTCTCCCCGTCACGAACAAACAAACGGGGAATCCACAAATCTCCAAACACAGAATAAAACTCCGTCGGTGAACCATCAACCACGATTCCAGCCAACTAACTACAGTAAACTAATTTCATTCCCCACTTAAGGGAGTTGTTCTACGTGTCTTCTGGAAGCATACTCTATCCATACTTACTTACCTGTCGGGTTCTCGACGTTTACGGAGTCTACCTAATTTGTTAGTTGGTTACTTAGTACGTGGTTGTTGCTAGTCAGGGTTATGGGGCCGGCGGCCTGGGCCAATTTTCCTTTTCCTTTTCCTTTTCCTTTTCCTTTCTGTGCCGTACGTAGTCTAGTACTGAGTACTTACTCCGTAGCTGGATGGGTGCTGATTTTCAATGGAGGTTTTTTCTTGTTGCTCCAGTTTGGAGGGAGGGAATGGGATGGACTTAGATGGTTGGTCATCTTATTTTCTTTCCCTCTTGTTTTGTCTTGTCTCGTCTCGTCTCGTCTCTCTATCCCTTAATTTTCGTTTCTCCTGGTTTTGTGGTATGTCTCCCTAACTGCACAGTGAGAAATTGATACCTAGCTAGATGAATAATAAATGACTATCCATGGGATAGTTGTATGGCATGGTGAGTAGTACTTCATTACGAAAGAGAAATACTAAAGACCAGCCGCCCTTTTCCCTCCTGTGTAGATAGTAGATACAACTACTCTCGACTTACCCGGTGCGGTTAAAGCTATATCATAGCATAGTTTAAATATTAAGCACTACTCTGTTACTCCCTTACCCTAACAGACTAGTCAGTTTAGTCTCGGGTCGGGACTCGTTTTCATGATGCCGGTGAAGATCATGATGAGCGTGCACTATCTGCGTAGAGTTAAGACTGAGTTGTCTGTCTGTCTGTCTTGCTTTCTGGGCGGGATTGATTCTTGGGGTTGTCGATCAGGAAATGGAACCGGCTAGAGAAGGGGAGGGAAGGGGGGAAGGTGGAAAATGGGGCATGGTGGTTGCCACTATGACTGCTATGGTATGGAGAAAAAAACTCCTAGTTTGTATGGAGTAGCTCCATATTGGTGGTTAGTACTCCGTAGTAGTAGTGTCGGGGGAATCAAGGATACGAAGAATGCGGTGATGATGATGGTGATGCGGTGTAGTACGGTAGTGAGTGAGCTGTATGTGTGTGTGACTGACGGAGTAAAGTAATACGCGTTATATACCGAGTTGGGATGGATGTTTTCGTGCTAAGAAGGTGAAAGTGGTGGTTGGTAATCGGATGCTCTCCGTAAGTACCAAGTTCTTCTTGTTCTGCCTTCTCTCTTCCCCTATCCGATGGAAGACGGAAGAAAAGGTCGAGTTCGGCTGTGACGACAATGGTCGTACTGCAGCTGCAGCTCCTCAAACTACATAGTAAACACACTAGTAGGGTAAAAGAGAAACAGTGGCGACAAAAAAAAAGACAATGGGATTCAAGAAACTTAAATCCTCCCCATGCATCTGCGCGTTGACCCCGAGGGCTGACGATGTGTGATTGTCCTGCATAGGCAAGCTTCCAGAAAAGAGGCAATCTGGCGCTAGAGCATCTGCTACTGCATCATCCGATGGCGATGCATCCATCCATCCATCCTTCGTCCCTCATCAATCTGACGGACGGGCTTAGTCGAACCGTCTTTCTTGCACGCACTTAATTCATGCGGCGTGAACCAGACCACACCACCTGTGGAACTCTCCCCTATTCTGCTTTAGGCAACGTATCTCTCGCAACTAGGGCCCGTCCTCTCCGACAACTGAAACTCCAACGCGGCCACTCGCAATTAAGCCTAGCCCGTCGGTCCAATCGTATGTCCCGCATATGATGGTCCCTCCTCTTATTAAGTATTACTCAGGGAGGTGATGCAGGCGGGCAGCTGGTTAGGACGTCATCATCGTCCGCTCTAGCCACACTTCTCCTCGGACCCCCGAGCGCCCCTGAATTTACGTGGGCCAAGTCAAGCCATCCCCAAGGCATAGTACTCCGTATTGTGTCTAAGAACGAGACACTACGGAGTACTACTCTATCTAATTCGCACTACCTAGTCCCCAAGGCCAACGTTCGGGAGAGAGCCTAGCCGTGGGGCCGAGAGAGAATCATTCAACACGGATCCGCGACCAACACGGACACCTGCAGGGATTCCGGGCAATGATGACGATGCCGATGGTCAGATAGGACGGAGCGCATAGCTGTCCTGTTCTTCTGGTCGCCTAATCATTAGAAAATCACACTGACCACCAAGAAAGTCAATTCCGGGGTTCGCTAAGTAGTCTGCAGCTATCAGGTATCTTTTATTTTTCTTTGGGGATTGCTGTATTATTCTGTTGGCTGTCGGAGCGCCGGCTATGTCCAAGTCCGTTGTGCGTTGTCGTGGGATCTTCCACTCAGGGATGTGACACGAGCGCCAGGAGGGAGAGACAAGGGCCACCATCGGCCCAAGGTGGGTGACGCAGCCGCAATGGCACATGGGGAGACAGAAGGGGAGAGAAGAGGGGAAAAAAGACGCTTTAGAAGCCTTCCATTGCCCTTCCGAGCTCTTTCTAGAAGGTCGCCGGAAGCCCGAAGTGGGCTTGGCAGCCATCATGACTGGTTCACACGAAGGATCCATACGATGTACGAGTCCGTTAGTGTGTGTAGCAGTGGGGTCAGTCTTCTGCAAGGGAGACCAACAAGGTCACAACCGAATAGGAAAAAGCAAGCAGGGGAAGAAAAAAAAGTTGACAAGGGAAAAATACCAAGAGGGGTGGGAAAGGAAAGAAAGGAGGGAAGCCCTGACTGAAGCCCAGAGGCAGCACGGGTGGACTCTTCGTCGCAGCCTCCTCCGTCAGGTCCGTAGACTAGCAAGACTAGGCGACTAGTCGCAGGACTAGGGCATTTCTTGTAGGAACCGGGCGGGAAAAGACTCCACGGCCCATTACCGCCCTCCGTATCATCAAACCCTGCTTTTTTTTTGCGCTTCAGAATTAGCCCCTTCTTGGTTGGTGTGTCCTTTGCTCTCTACACATTCGCTGCACCAGTCAGCATGTGGTCCAACGTGACATGCAGATCGGTGAGTGGAATGGGGAAGGAAGCATCCGGCAGGACGAGGCAGACCTGTCCCTGCAGCCGGATGGGAGGGAAGAGGAGACACAGGAGACAAGAGGAGAGAGGGGGGGCCTGCGTGGAGGGACGGGTTGAAGCACTATGTAATAGTGCGTTCAAAGCTCCTCTAGGAGGTCCTGGACCACGCCCGATTCCCCATCATTCGAACCTTTCTAGAAGGAAATTAGCTTTCCCACCGTTGTTCTTTCGGTAATCACAGGCCATGCTGAGACCCTCATCCGAAAGGGGCAAATCACATCTTCCGTTGAACAGCCGAATCGCCTGGGGTTAGTCCGCGATGCCTCTTCGCGGCTGGTCAATCTGAATTTAGTCTTCTGTAGTAGGTGAAGTAGTTACTCTAGTACTCTAAAGCGAGATTAGCGATCGCTTCGCCTTGAAATTTCGTCCAAGGGAAAGGCTGACAACAAATAAGAGCCACCCATTTTTTTTAATTCGCATTTGCATTTTCGGTTTCGTCCCGAACAAGGCTTCCTGTTGGCGAGCTTGTGTAAAGAAGCTGAAGGATGTTCTTGCCCTGACTGGGACTTTTGGGAGGGCGAAATTGGAGCAAAGCCACGCCATAGGGTGATGGTTGATGCCTGATCGGAGCCGGCGCTGGAGAGTTTTTCGCATTGTCGCACGATACTTTGAAGCGTGCAGCCAGTCCGATCTGATCACCTGGTTTCCTATTTCCTCTCCTGCTTTCTTTTTTCTCATTTGTCTTTGTCCTTCCTTTGGTTTCGGCTTATCCTCCGTGCTCTTCCTTTTCCCCTCTCGATGGGCGCACCAGGGGCAGATAGAGGCCCCTTGAGAAAAGGGAAACTCCTGGGGTAGGTGCAGGAGTAGCTTCCGAACAGTGATGCAATATCCGTGGTCAGACTCCTGGCCCAGTTACCAGCCACGATCGGGGACCTTGTTCCTCTCTTTCTGCCTTGTACCAGTTTACGTTATATCACACACACCCCTCCTCCTCACTCATTTAGCGCAGAATGTGACCCGTGGGATGTTCTCTGGTTATCGCGTGTTCCTCCGAGTAAGGCGGCTAAAAAAACCGTTGTTATCGGATGCGATTCCTTGTTCTTCTTCCATCACGTATCCTTCACAGCATGTCCCGAGGAAGTGTGACTGGGAGGATGGAAGCAATGGAAGGTAATCGCCTGGCCCGCGACACCAGAAAAAGAATAATATTGTCCTGATTCATTCAGATCGGCATCAACCCGCCGATACCCACCCAGCAGGAGCGATTCTCGCACGGCCAGGGAGAGACGGGGAAAGCCACGTTGTGGAGCCGAGCGCTGACGGTGACCTTCTGGTGCCGCCAGCTTCTTCGGGCGAGTTGAGTTCACTGGAGCCACTTGGGGC